ATATATATTTATGAGCAGAACCGTTTTGGGGGTTTTGGGGTCTTAAGGTAAAAGGTCTAAGACTTTTGAATAAACTGTCATTGCTCACAAAATAATATTGCATCATAAGCAATGTTGTAATCAATTTTAGACTTAGTCAAGGCAGTAATAACCTCATGTCAAATATTCCACTTTGCATCTCATTTTTGAAAATATTGTATATTTTCTGTTTTCTGATTAAAAAAAAAGATAAAGGTCTTCTATACACAAATGTAAAAAAACAACAACAACAACTATATCACAGTTAGTTTTGAAGTTGTTGAAAGTATTTGATGCAGTGGAAGTAAAAACAATATTTATACATTACATTTTTATTGGACTTTTACCAGAGGGCACATTTTGGGCCTAAAGGTGTTAAGTGTATAATCATTTTAAAGGTGACCCAAGGGTTGAACATGTCCCACACTTACAGCCTTCAAATGCAGAGGAAATGCATTACTGGTTTGTATTGCTAATTGTAGCTAGCCTGTATAAAGAGCAGAACAATCAGCAGAAACTCCCATTTGCAACTGAAACAGTAAAAATTCTCAGATCTGAACTCAGATTTCCGGTGTAAACAGAATGAAGCTTAACTTTCTAAAACAAGTACTGGGTTTTAACATGAGTTAATGAAACAGGAAGAGATTGTGCTTTCGTTAGAGTCTATTTCTTGTTGTGGATCAATTCAACCTTAATTTCCTGGAGCAGGGCAGTGATAAGGAATTAATTACAAATCCTGAGTTTATTGTAATGAAGGACCAACCAATGCAGAGCTTTTAATTGCTTTTAGACGTCAATACAACTCAATAGCATAGAGCAGTAATCTATACTGGGCACTAAAAATCAACACATTCTGTACCATTTATTACAATCCACAGTGTCATTGCTGGTCCACTTCTATAATTCAAGTTTTCATGAGTTTATGTAAATGTGGTTTGTACTGGCGATGCTTCCTTATGTGTACAAGTCATTTATGGTAAGGCAGGCTCCAGTTGTACTGCAAATTACTGATAATCTGTTGTTAGCATTTCCTTCTTGCTGTTTTTATAAAGAAAAACATGTCACTAATGAGGACTATCTGCAAAGCAAAGCCCCATATCTGATGTTTGTTTTTGCACTTTTTGCATCACACATTCAAAAAGTCCATTCTGACTTTCACTTTCAAGGTAAGATGAGCTCAGGATGTGCAGCTGATGATATCCAACTATGAAGCAAGTTTAAGCTGCAAATACTAATTGCTCACTTAACAACTTACGTTTAGACCTAGTCAACCTCAAAGTGGTAGAGTCAAGTCAAACTTGTGGTTATCCATCCAAGAAACACAAAGTGATGTTTTCTCACTTATTTTCATGCAGTTTACTCACTTTCCTGCTGTAGCTCCAAAAGCACGCTCTCTCTTCCGTAGGTGTTGGACATGCTGCAGTGGACGTTCACAGCTGGTCCGTTGTTGTCAGCCCGCTCACCTTTCTCCCGCAGCTTGATCATGGCAGTGGATGTGTGTCCATCTGTGTGTGTGTAGAAGTTGTACCGGCCGTCTGTTTCATTAATGGTGATGTTCAGGTCCGGCAGGTAAAACTCAATAACGGGTTCGGGGTTTCCTGTGGCTATGCAGACGCACTGAACTCCCTCCCTCACCACCGTGCACTTTGACTCCTCTAGAAGGACCGGGGCATCTATGGAACAAAACAGTACATTAAGGGACTGGGTAAACAGTAGTAAATTGTATCAAATTATGTATTTTCGTTAGTAATAATACAAAATTGTGGTGCAGGTAAGAGTTTATAATAAAAAATGAAAAATATTTTTGCAGCATACATATAAAAGATCTTAAAAGAAATTGACTGCAAAAGTGTTTGCAGTAATTGCTACAATGCTTTATATATTTATTCGTTGTTTTAACCATATTTTTTCAGTTTAATTGGGTTTTATGGAGGACAGTGACACACTCACACTCGACAGTGATGTTGAAGGAGCTGCTGACTCGTCCGTGCTCGTTCTCAGCCAGGCAGCGGTAATGTCCGTCCTCCTGCGGCGTGATTCCTGCAATCTCCAGCACTGACAGGTCGCCAGCAGTGATGGTGCCCACCAGCTCTCCATCCCTTAGCCAAGTGAGGGTCGGAGCTGGACTTCCCTGGGTGCTGCAGTGCAAAGCCAGCGAGGCGCCCTCAACAACTGTCATCGATTCGTTTACCACCGGTTCACGAGGAGGGTCTGCAACAAAGTGAACACGTTCAGCTTGTTTTGTTATCTTTTTTGTTTTTCATTCAACCTTTATTTCTACAGGTTGATCCCACTGAGCCTCGGGGACTCGTTTACAAGAGAGACCTGATTTTAAAATAGAGCGATGATAATAGTGGACAACATAGACAACAATAGATAATCATGAAGAATGCATACAAGTTGAGTTTTTTTTAACAAGTTAAAATAAAATGGTAATTAAAAGAAAAAGTAGCAACAGCAAAAAAAAAAAAAAAAACTGTGAGGTTGTAAGACGATGTAGAAAATTAAAAACAGGAACATGTCTGCATTGGTTTTTCCCATGAGTTTAACAGATGTTTAAAGCCACTTAGAGAGGTCAAGATTTAGAGCTTCAGATCTTTTTGCAAGATATTCCAGGAAACGGGAGCGGAGCAGGAGAAGTCAAACTTTTAATATTATCTGACAATATTAAAGCAAAAGAACAATTATGAAATAAACCTGCTTGGATAATTAGGGCACCGCAAACAAACACTGGGGACATTTCACCAGTTTATCAGAAAATATGCAGAGAACACAGATAAATGTTTATTTTGTACAATTCTGAAAATGTAAAAAAAAAAAAAAAACATTCAAACTTTTAGTTTTGTTTCTACAAAACAATGATGGAGTCAGATATACAAAGAAAAATACTTAATCAAAGTAAAAATAGCTAGTATAACTCTACTTCTCATTTGAGGTTTAAGACAAATGACTAAAATATGATTCAGGGTCTGGAAGTGGACATGCAGCTCCTCTTAAAAAGACATGCTTACTCTGACTGTGACATTTTGAACGAGAGCTGACATGTAAATGTGTTGGTTCAGTTTGAACAACTGGCCAAGATAGTGGTCAAAGATTTAGTTAGAAACCCATTTCTACCGTGTATGATAAAAAAGTTTGATGTAACTTTCTGAAACTGTGTTCCAACTTGATTTCTAGACAAGATATTTTCACCAAACAAGCTGACAACAGTAGTTAAGTGCATGCTGTCAAAAAGTGATTGTGTAAAGAGACTTGTATGCATATGTGTATTGTGTACAGCTACACTGGCTTGCAGGAGCCTTTTTCATGACCTCTGATTAACCTCTGCATGTTTTTGGACTGTGGGAGGAAACTGAAGTACCCAGAGGATAAAAACAACATTTGCACAGGAAGAACATGCAAACACTGTAAAGAACAACCCCAGATGAGCTTTGATCCAAAGACTTTCTTAATGTGAAGTGACAGAGCTAACCAATGCATTACTGAGCCCCCATAAAGAAAATATGTATTTTAACTGAAAATATTCTGTAGTTGTAGAGCTCAAAATACTTGATCCCTTCTCTTTCTTTATTATGCTGCACAAAGTAACATTAAAATTAAACATTTATGATTACTTTTGGTTATTTAGCTGATTATATATCTAATTCAAATAATTGTTTGCTTTAAACATTCAATAGCTCTTTATATTCAAATTCAATTCAAATTAAAAAATATTTAAACGTAATCTGGAAATATACATTGTTAGAGTAAATTAAAACAAATTTATCGGCTGTTCCAATAATAAATAAAGTAAAATTGTGTTAGCACTATTACAATACTGACAAGAACTGCTCATTTTGATGATAAATCTTATTTCAAACATTCAAACATGTATTTTTTGCTGCTGAGACAAAGGGAGATTGCCTATCTAAATACAATATATCATGTAGGAGTAATTAAATAAATGCAAATGTTACATGATTATGTTTAGACAAGTTAGATGAGCATTATTGTGTACTGACGATATACTAAATATAAATTAGCATTGTTTTATAGACTTGTTATCCAGGTAGACTTGGATGGTTTACTGTTCTTTTATTGCCTCCTTGTGGTTCTATCTGTAACTGATTATTATAAATAATTTGGAAGATTTTGAGCTGAAAATGGTTTGTTAGAAAACAAACTATAATTAAGTTAAAGATGAAACGTTTCAACAAAGAAGAATCTGTCCAGAGGACCTGACATAACCTTGTTAGATATCTTCAAGACTCTTCAGAAACCATGAGTGCAGAGCCTTTAGGATTTTCCTAAAACTTTTTTTTTTGTTGTTTTCTGGGACTCCTTTGTCATGTGTTCGACTTACACTTGACAGCCAGGTACAGAGAGGTGTTCATAATCCCATAGCCATTATCTCCAACACAAGTGTAAATCCCTTCGTTCACAGGAGTGACGTCATCCAGGGAGAGGGTGAGGTTGGACGCTGTGTCCCACAGCAGCTCCTTGTCTTCGAACATCCAGGAGATCCTGGAAATGGGGTTGCTGTCCACCTCACAGTGCAGTGTCACAGAGCTGCTCTCCATCACCTCGGAGGATACGTTCACCCACACAGATCGTGGAGAGTCTGCACGGTCAAGTGGAAAAAAAGATTTACTTTTCAAGGACTCAGATGTCCAGACGCATCTAAACATCATTCTAAAGAGAAAACTAGGGATGCACGATATTGGATTTTTAGCTGATATCCGATACGCCGATATGTTAAAACTTATTTGGCCCATAACCGATACCAATACCTATTTGAATTTTTTTAGTATTATTTCTACTTACAGAGACTTCATAGATTTCTCTGCTGTGGAATTAAAATACTACATTATTCTGTATGATCTTTGTCAATTTGGCCTGCTGCCAAATGCAAATGCCAAAAATGGGGCTGAAAATGATGTAACACTTGTATTATGTTTCATGTCAAATTCATTCATGACATTCACTTTCTCGAACACGATAGTCCACGAACAGAGCAAATTTGTAAATTTTCACAAATATAAACTCAACGGCACATGTGATGTCATAACGTTGTGCTGGCACAGCTATACATATATATATAAACAGCACCTTTTATATCGGTGAGTTATTTTGATGGAATGGTCGATGTTCGATATTTAACTTTATCGCTAATATCGGCCGATATCGATACCATGCCGATAGTATCGTGTATCCCTAGAGAAAACAGTTGTTAACAAGAAAATTTTGGGTTTTATGCATATTCAGTACATCATTTTGTTTATAAAAGATGCTAAAAGTAAAATACAAATATTACATCACCATTTTTTACTTACACTTTACATCCAGTGTGATGAGCCTCTCATAGACCAGTGTGGTGTTGGGGTAGAAAACCCTACAACCCAGCAGCTGCCCATTGTGCATAGGTCTGGGTGTGAAGACGAGGGTGTTAGAAATCACTGCTGTGTTGCTCTCCTCCACATATTCAGTACTGAATTCCGGGTCGGGCAAGTAATCGGTGTACATCCACTGTATCTCTGGAGTCATGTCAGGGCAGTTATCGGGAGCGTAGCACGTCAGCTCCAGGTTCTCGTCACTGACAATCTCCTCTGGTATGTCAATGCTGGGCTGATCTGAAGAACAAAACACACTTAGCCTTTTTGTTGTGGAAACTGAATGCAAAGTTGCTGTTAGTGAATGAAAGCTATGTTTTACAAGTCCAGTATTCCAGTAAATGAATTGTCTTGGCTCACCCAAAACTTTGAGCTCAGCAAAGTCTGGGTATGAATATTTGTTGGCTCCACCAACGTCCGCCCGGAAGTAGTACCTCCCTGAGTGTTCTGCACCAATGTTGCCAATGAGCAGAGTGCAGTTCCTCTGGTTCAGGTCACCCAGCAGCTTGGTGCGACCCTTGTAGCTCTCGTGCACAACATCCGTGAGTGATTTGAAGACTACAGGGGGGAAGAGTTGTGGGTAGGGCTGGCCAAAATACCAGATCCCATGAATGCCCCGAATGGGCTTGATTCCAGATGGATACATGAAGCTGCATGGGATGACCACACAGGAGTTTGTCATGGCTGAAATATCCCGAGGTAACCAAATATTCCACTGGCAAGTGACATCTAAAGGAGGAGACAGACGTTAAGTTCATTTTGATGGATATCTTCATTTTCTTTATTATTCAGCTGACATGCAGGGGTGGATTACCATGAACGATCAACAGCAGCGGTAAGAGCAGCGCCAAACACCACATGGTCTCTACTTAATGTTGGACCATAGACCTCTGGAAAAAACAGCATCCTCAGTCAGTAACAGCTCAGCTTGGCAGGTTTTACTATTACAATGAGCATACTCCTGCTCTGTAATTCTTTGAAACATTGCACTGATTTTCTTTTGGATCACATTTATGGCTCATAATATTTTGCCAGCTTTGATTTATTGTCAAATGTGTGATGATGTGTTTAAAACACTCCCCCAACAGAGGCAAGAAGAAAAATACAGACAAAAAAGACAGTAAACATGCATGATTTGGACACTTGATTATGGTTAGAGAAGCTGAAGAACTATTGAAGAACAAAAATGTTCTTTTGTTTAATTTATTGAATTTTTATTGAGACTCGAGTGATTTTCTTAAATGGTGTCAATATATGTGATTCGTATTATGCCCAATACCAATATGTCAGAAACTCTTTCATTAACAACTTTAAAACCCCCAAATGCTGTTTTCGCTTGTAAATCTGAAACGTGTTCATACTGTATATAAAATAATGACATATTTTCCACGTTTCTATTTTTTTACATGCCTAATTCATTATTCTTATATTACAAAATTAAAAAAAAAATCAATTTTACATTTTATGGTAAAATGAACTGAACTAGTCATATTTATATTTTGAGTCGAGGATTGTTTTTAATTTTGTAATGCACTTCGGTCTTTTTATTTTTCTTGTCAGTTTCTTTTGTGTGAAGACCTTTCATTTTATTTTATTTTTTTCACTTATCCTTTATTTATACAGGTAGTTTCATTGAGCCATGAGAACTCGTGTTCAAGAGATACCTGCTTAGGGAGAAGATGGTGGGGGTTAAGGGCCTTGCTCAAGGGCCCAGAGTGGGGCGAATGAGGGTGGAGGAAGGTGTGGGTGTTCCACCTTTTCCACCCACATTATGATGATGACGGTACCAGGAGTTGAACCTGCAACTTTCCGATCACAGGCCCATCACAAGCCCATCTTCTAACCTCTTGCGCCACCACTCCCCCTTAATAATCCTTTGATCTACATCCTTGTTAGAAAGGAGCTGTAGAAATAAAATTTGATTGATTGATAACGTGATCGATTTGTCTTGCGCTAGTGAGAAACCACAAGTGATTTTTTCTGCTGACACGGGTACATTTATCTAACACGCAATGACAAAACACCAGAGATACTTCTTGTACTGTCTGTATTAAGAAAGTGAACAACTGAAATAAAAAAGAACACAAAACAATCATAGATTGAAGAAAATGGTTAAACATCAGAGTCTGCTTTAAGTCCAATATTTGATTTATGTAAAAAAAATAAAAAAGTTTAATTTATTGGAGAAAAATTTAATATTCAGCAGTTTAAATTAAAATTTTAAAATTATCAAAACTTTGCTTTAATTCGCTCCAAGTCCCCTACAAAAAATGGCTATTAAAAGTCAGTATATATGTATATAAATATAAGGTACTTGCAGAACATAAAATAAATAAATGAAACTCTTCAAATTTACCTCGAAACGCTGATGGTTCAGACAGAATCTCTGCAGGACGGTTTGTCGACAGCTCCACTAGAGGGTGTTGACTCACACCCCAGCAGCTTGACAGCCTTCTTCTCTACAAGAAACAAATAAAATACTTCTCAGACTATTACATCACTTTGCTTCACACAGAACTGCAGTAATTCACACCAACATGGCGTCAGTGAGCACCTGTTTGCTCCCCCTCAGTGGGGTTTGTCATTATGGCCTCCATACTTCAGCCCTTACAGTGAATGAGCTCCACTGTTGGCTCAGCGCTGACATGAAGCCAAACACCAGTCACCACACATCATGTCATCAGTAGATTACTGATGCTATTTGTGCTGCGCTAGTATTAAATCAGGAGAGGAGGAGCGTACGACGTGCCATGGTGGCAATGTACATTTTGTAAACAAGCTGCATTGTAAATAAACAGCTAAATGCTAATTTGGCAAAATGAGCAAAGTAGCGCTGCAGAATGAAACTTCCTGTGATTTTTATTTATTCCAAACTACCTGTTTATAGTGACAACAAACGTGAGTCCCCATGGATTTGTAATATCAACCAGTAGATTATAAATACCAAGAGCTCCATGAGGCTTCAGTCCTTCAGTGCAGCCACTTCACATGTTGCGAGGCATTAAAGACGCCAGAACGTTTTAATATAAGGAGAATGTAAACAGCTCAGATTCAGTGTCTCAACGTAGCCACGACCAAATGGGTCACCCGTTCTGGAAATCAGGGGTCAAGAGTTCAGAAGTCTGACGTTTATGTCACATCCGAGTTAGGGTTAGGGTTTTGTGTTTTATTTTTATCTTTGGTATTTTATTATGTCTTTTTGTATGGTTGTAAAAGCTTGACTTAATTGCAATGTTTGTAATGTGGACCCCAGGAAGAATAATCTCTACTACAGTAGAAACTAATGGGGATCCTTAAATAAATAAATCCTAGTGTGGAGGAGGAAAGTAAAGACAACTTATCTTTAAAGCTTAAAGTAAGTTAACCATCGCAATGTTTGCATCGCAGCCTTTAATATCAATCTAGAATAAATCCATCCATCCATCCATTTTCTTTACCCGTTTGTTCCATTTTGGGTCACGGGGGTCGCTGGTGCCCATGTCCAGCAATCACTGTGCGAGGGGCGGGGTACACCCTGGACGGGTCGCAAGTCCATCACAGGGCCACATAGAGACAAACGAGACAAACAACCATTCATTCTCTCACTCACACCTAGGGACAATTTAGAGTTACCAATCAGCCTAACATGCATGTTTTTGGTCTGTGGGAGGAAACCGGAGCACCCGGAGAAAATCTAGAATAAATGTATTTTTCAAATACTGCTTTATGTGCCGGGCGGTATGACTTTACATTTTTTACATCGTTTTCCAAACTATTCCACAGACCTATTCCCTGAATTGAAGTAGACCTCCCCTTTAAACTGGTTCTGTACTGTGGTTTAACAAAAATGTCTGTTCCCTTAAGATTATAGCAACTTTTCCTTTTTACAAAATACGTTTGAATGTTTGAAGGTAGTGTGTAGTTCTGAGCTTTGTACAGTACTAAAAGAATATTATAGTTAACCAAATCATAAAACTTCAGTAATTTCAATTGATAAAATAAAATACTAGATGGATGACAATAATGCTTTCTTGTGATAATTCTTATAGCTCTTTTCTGCAAAATAAAAATAGGCATCGTTATAGTTTTACATGCTGTTCCCTAAACTTAAACACAATAAATTAAATGTGGGACTATAATTGTATTATACAGCAAATACAAGGCTTTATCATTCAATAAGTCCCTTACTTTATACAGTGCTGTGGTGGATTTAGATATTTTAGTTTTTACAGAATTTATGTGCTGTTTCCATGACAGTTTATCATCAATAATTACACCCAAAAACTTCACCTCACCTACTCTGCATATCTCAACACCATCAACTCTAAAAGGAACATCGACAGTTATCTTTTTTTTTTTACTAAATATCATATAATTAGTTTTATCAAGGTTCAACGATAACTTGTTTAATTTAAACCAATTTTGTATTTTGACAAACTCCATCTTCATCAACTCAAACATCTGTTCCAAGTCTTTACCCAAATAAAAGAAAGCGGTATCATCAGCAAAGAGAACACATTTAAGGATACTGGACACCTCCGTCAAATCATTTACATACAAAATAAACAACTTAGGTCCAAGTACAGAGCCATGTGGCACTCCACATGAAATACTGCTTAGGTTAGATCTTACATCGTCTATTTGTACAAACTGTTTTCTGTCTTTTAAATAACTACATATCCACTGCAAAGCTGGTCATCTAATACCATATTTTTTTTAATTTATCAATCAGAATGATGTGGTCAATTGTGTCAAATGCTTTTTTTAAATCAACAAATATACTTTTATAATGTTGTTTTTGATCTATAGTTGTAGTAACTTGTTCCATCAACTCCATAAGAGCCATGGCTGTTGAGTTTTTTGATCTGAACCCATACTGACTATTACTTAAAATATTGTTTTTATCAAGAAATAGGTCAAATCTGGTCAAAAAATAATTTTTCTAGAATTTTTGAGAATTGTGGCAACAAAGATATAGGACTGTAGTTATTAAATACACATTTGTCACCATGTTTAAAAAGAGGAACTACCTTAGCTATTTTCATTCTGTCTGGGAATATTCCTGTTGAAAATGACAAATTACATATATATGTAAATGGCTCAATAACATGACTTATTATTTCTTTTACAACCATCATATCCAGGTTCACCTTCGAATCAAATTCAAAATACTCTTGTATGTCTATAAATCACTAAACAGCTCTGCCCCCTCCTATCTTACTGATCTGCTCCAGCTGTATGTCCCACCACGTTCTCTCAGATCAGCAGACCAGTTGCTCCTAACAGTCCCAGGAACCCGTCTCAAGCGCAGAGGTGACAGGGCCTTCTCTGTAGCAGGCCCAAGACTTTGGAATGAGTTACCTCTGCTCGTTAGACAGGCCCCCTCCCTCACAGTTTTTAAATCTCACTTAAAAACACACTTTTATTCCCTGGCTTTCAGCACTGTGTGATCTGTGCTGAGTCTGTGTGCATCACACTGTGTTGGTCATGTTGCGGTTGTTGTTGTTATCCATTATTGTTTTTGTTGGTTTCTACTTTTTGGTGTCCTGTTATGTAATCTGTTGCTGTGTGCTTGTTCTGTTTGTCCCTGTACAGCACTTTGGTGTGCTTTGTCACTGTTTAAAGTGCTTTATAAATAAATTGGTATGTATGGTATGGTATGGTATGGTATGGTATGGTATGGTATGTCTTCACAGTCTTTTGATCTTTTGTCAGTAAATTTTTTAACTACCTTCATTATTTCTTCTTTGTCAGTTCCCTTTAGAAACATACTTTTAACACAATCACTGATTAAATAACTCACATTTTTATCCACTTTTGGTATTGTATTTGCAAGGTTAGATCCAACATTTACAAAGTAATTATTAAATCCATTTACAAT